TGGACTGGATCTGCTGCTTGAGCTGGGAGCCTTCTTTGATGGTAACAGAACAGGCGATGACAGGTCTGGAGACCCCACAGGCCCGGCCTAGGGCCTGCTTGGAGCGCACAAATACATAGGGGACATTCTTGTCTTCACACAGCAGTGGGAGGTGCAGGATGATCTCCAAGGGCTCAGCGTCTGCTGCCATCACAATGAACTCAGAGATGCCCCTGTTGAGGGTTTTGGTGGCTGTTGAGACAGGACATGAAGCCAACAGATGACATGGGGCTTGGGCAGAGCAGCCACAGCAAAGTAAGGAAAAAGTAACCCATACAAGGACACAACAACGCTCAGGACATGCCAGGCGAGGTGGTGCACGCCTTTAGTCTCAGCAGCTGGGAGGCAGATCTCTGAGTTGGAGGCCAGCCTGGTCTACACAGTGGACTCCAGGACAGCCAAAGCTGCATAATGAGATCCTGTCTCAAAGAGGCCTGGGAGCATGGAGAGAACAAAACAACCAATTTTCTGCCTGGAGCAGCCCTGTAATGTAATAATACTTAGTCCTTCCTCATGTCTTGCTCACCCACTCAGCATAAGGATATACCACACAAAGTAATGCGTCTATAGTTTTAACCTGTCCCCAAGACCTCAGTTCTCTGTTCAAACCTCACTTTCTGAGAAGATTCAATCCAAAAAGATCCTCAAACAGCTACACACCCCATCCTCCTTCACAGCAGGCCTGCCTTCCATAGTCCACACCTTCTTTCATATGTGACTGCCAAGAATGGAGGATACAGCAGAACAGGCCCATGAGCGCTCTGCTTTGCCTTCTGCCAACAACATAGGTAAAAGATTCCCCTTTTTTTCAGGGTTCCCCTAAAATCTCAAATGTGATACTTTAATTAATATCTTACAAAACAAAGCCGCTCGGCTAGGTAGTGGTGGCGCACTCCTTTAATCCCAGTATTCAGGAGACAGAGACAGGAGGATCTCTGTGAGTTGAGGCCAGCCTGGTCTACAGAGCCAGTTCCAGGACAGCTAGGGCTGTTACACACAGAAACTCTGTTTCAAAAAACAAACCAAACCAAACCCAAAAACTGGAGAGATGGATCAGCGGTTAAGAGTACTGACTGCTCTTCCAGAGGACCTGGGTTCAATTCCCAGTACCCACATGGCAGCTCACACCTGTCTGTAATTTTAGTTCCAGAGGATCTGATACAGACATACATGCAGGTAAAAACACCAATGCACATAAATGAAATAAAAATAAATTAAGAAAGAAAAATCTCTACTACAGAAAGCTATTTGGTTTTCTTTATTTTTCTAGGCAGAAATGTCATGGCCCATATACTTAGTCCACTGAAAAATTGTTCATTCAACAGACTAAGCACGGCAGCGCACACCCATAACCCCAGCACTTGGGGACAGGAGGATCAGCTCGAGGTGGGCTACATACTAAACTGTGAGGCTAGCCTGGGTTCACGAGGCTCTCCCAAACAAACCAACAAAACACAAAAACTCCTCAGCCCCAGTCTGCCCCTACCCTGCAACTCTCCCTCCCTCCCCCTCCACACACAAAAGAAAAATGTTTCTGAGAATCACTGAAATTCATGCCTCCCACAGTTGCCAAATACTGAAAAGCATTAGAATCCTTTTCTTTTTGATGGTTCTAAAGAGTGAGTACAACTTCATACAGTTTTAACAACTGCTTTCCAAATGGCTCCACAAAAATAAATAAAATACATTTTTTTGTTTGTTTGTTTTTCGAGACAGGGTTTCTCTGAATAGCTTTGCGCCTTTCCTGGGACTCACTTGGTAGCCCAGGCTGGCCTCGAACTCACAGAGATCAGCTTGCTTCTGCCTCCCGAGTGCTGGGATTAAAGGCGTGCGCCACCACCGCCCGGCTAAAATACATTTATATATTCAGAGAAAAAAGGCAAATATAGCAAAATGTTAACCACTGATGGCTCTATATCCTAACCACCTTTTGCATCTAATGCCAAATGGATCTTTCATTGGTCAGTAAAGAACTTCTAGAATGCACATTAGCCCAACTATTTAAGAAGTTGAGGTAGGAGGACTGCTTGGGTTGGGGAGATCGAGGCCACCCTGGGAGCACACCACCAAGACCTGCCTCCACAAAATAAAATAGAAAGTGAAGAAGAGTGAAAATAAAATATCCAGCCCTTCTTCCAAACTAGAAATCCAGGAGATCCCTGTTGAAAACAGGAGCCTTCAGCACCCCAGCATCACCCTGTGCTTGTCTCACCTTCATTGGCTCCTTTCCGAAGCTGCTTGTAGTTACATGACTGCTGAACGAGGTCCAGCAGCTTCTTGGTGAGGTGGGCATCTGCGAGGGGATAGGCCTTCGGATTTACATCAGCCTCTGTCTGTGAGACCAGAAGGTATTTCAGATCAATTACAAACTATCAACGACTGAGACCAGCTTGGTCTCCTCCTTACACATACACACGCATACCCACCCCTCTACTTTAGGGATAGATGACACCCAATTTCAAAAACAGCCCCTAGCAATGCAACAAAGACACCAACCAAGTACAGACAGAATATGTATATTAACACAGGTCTAACCACTCTCTAATGCTGTCTTCTGGACCCTAAGTGCAAGAGCAATCATACACACAAGCTCTCACACACATATACCCATAATTACAAAATTTTAGCTCAGTGGCAAGGCCCTGGGTTTGGTCCTCAGCTCTGGGGGAAAAAAAAATTCAAAAGTTAAACCACTTAATTTCATAATGTTTTTGTAATGTTGGCAATTCAAGACCTTGCACATGCTAGGGAAGCACCGGATCTGTATTTTCGGCCCACACCTTTTTTGAGACAAGGCTTGCTATATATAGCCCAGGCTAGCCAACTTGAATCCCTAGCTTGATCAATTTGGTCTACTTATATACCAGATAGGCAAACATGCATGATTTTTTTTTTTTTAAGAGACAGGGTTTTTCTGGGTAGCTCTGGAGCCTGTCCTAGAACTGGCTCTGTAGACTTGGCTGGCCTCGAACTCAGAGATCCACCTGTCTCTGCCTCTCGAATGCTGGGATTAAAGGCGTGGACCACCACCACCCAGCTACACGCATGATTTTGATTTAGCAAATTACAGCCATACATAACCTAATAATGCCTCTGTCAACAAGACCCTGCTCACATAAAATTCCAACGGAGCTGAAAAAGGCCAGTGACACTAGCCACTTGGAAATTCTAGCAAAAAAGTTCTGCTGGTTGTATACAGTGGTACATAAAATTATGCACAGTACATTAAAAGTTGCCACTTGACGTTACTGGCTTATGTTATTTACCACACTACACTTTATTATTCTTTGTGTATTACAAAAAGGTTACTGTAGACAGTACACCTGTTGTGGCAGCAGCATCCTAGTTTTTTAATCAAGAGGCTCAAGAATGACTGACCGACCAGCTTTAGTGTGGCGGGACACGTCTGTAATCGCAGCACCCTGGAGGCTGAGAGTCCAACCGGCGCGCACCCGTCCTTAAGGGGTGCAGGACCGCACTGCAAACCTTACAGGGAACTCGTTATCCCCATTTCACAGCCGATGCAAACTGCGGTACAGTTCACCCGGAGGGCACCGGATCTCAAACTCTTCACTGGTTCAGCGCTGGTTTAGAGGCTTCCTCAAACCAGACACAGCCAGTCCCTAAAACTCGGAGGTGGGGGCGCGAAAGTTACCAAAGCCGATCTGGAACCCAAGTGCTGGATTAAATCTCATACAGACGTGAAAGGGCTCGCCAAACTCTTTCCTCCATACTACGCTCCAATCCTAACACGACCTGGAACCCTCTCTCGACAACATTAAAGTGGCGACGATCGAGCGTTATCGTCACACGTGGTGCAACCAGGACCTCCGGTTTTTGAGTCTCACCGTAGGAATCTTTCCTGGGCCTCCGGCCGGGGTCACTCCACATTCTCCCTTGACCCCAAATTAAAAACAAAACCAAACGCCCCTGAATTCCCCCAAGCCGTGTTAGCTCCCGACAGACACGGACAGGAGACGCAGACCCCACGGCGCCACTCTCCTGAACCCCGGGCGTGGGAAAGGAGCGGGCAGGGGCTGACTCCGCCGTGATTTCTCGTCATCTTCAAGAGATCGTTTTAACAAGAAAAAAGAACAAGCGAAAGGGAACGGAGACCGAGTTTCCCAGACACCTCCACCACCCCACGTGGGGCGGTCATTTCCCCACGCGGCGCCGGGCCTCTCCCCTCGCCCGGCCTCTGGCCACGCCCACCGCTGCAAAGCCGATCGATCGGGGCCGCCCGAGTTCTCGACTCTGCCGCCCGAGTTCTAACCCGGGACCCGGAGGTCGGCCATGGCGGGGCGGGCGAGATGGCGCGCGTGCGCTACGCCTCCCGCGGGACGGAGCCCCCCGCCGCCCGCGTCCCCCGCTCCGCGCGCTGGCGGCCCCACGCGCTCGCTCACCATGGCTGCGGTGCGCCGGCCTCGCCGCGACTCGAGAACAGCCCACCCGAGACAGGCCGAAACGCGGCGCAGAAAGCGGAGCGGAAACCACTGCCGGCGCGGGAGGAAGCGGAAGTGATGTCACTCCGGGCGCGCAGTGACGTCGCCCCGGCGCCGTTCCCACAGTGCTCAAGGGCTGCGGTCGTCTGTGATTTGAAGGAACGTGTTTTACTGGGTTTTGTTAGTTTCCTAGTTTATGTGATTGGTCCCAAACTGTGAATTAAACGTTTGGGGAGCCGGGCGGTGGTGGCGCACGCCTTTAATCCCAGCACTCGGGAGGCAGAGGCAGGCGGATCTCTGTGAGTTCGAGGACAGCCAGGGCTACACAGAGAAACCCTGTCTCGAAAAAACAAAAAACAAAATAAAAACAATATAAAAACAAAATAAGTAAACATTCGGCAGTGGCACACCAATACAAAGGGTTCCAAGGGTCGCCATTTCATTGCCTTTTTTTTTTTTTTTTTTTTTTTTTTTTTTTTTTTTTTAGTTTTTCAAGACAGGAACTCACAGAGATCGCAGGCCTCTGCCCCCAAAGTGCTGGGATTAAAGGCGTGTGCCACCATCGCACGCTTGCCCCTTAATGCTGCACTAAAACTCTGGTTGCTCTTCCATAAAATATTGGTTCAATTCCCAGCACCCACACAGCAACTAACAACTATGACTCCAGTTCCAGGGCTATCTAACTCCCTCTTCTACCTTCCATGAGCACTGTGATGCAGAGACTTATATTCGGGCAAACACCCATACACAGGAAATGAAACTTTTGTTTTTAAAAGAGTGAATATAGAAGCCAGGTGATAGTGGCACATTCTTTTAATTTCAGCACTCTGGAGGCTGAGGCAGGTGGATCTCTTGAATTCCATGCCAGCCTGGTCTACAGAGTTCCAGAACAGCCAGGGCTACACAGAGAACTGTCTCCCCAGAAATCCCACCTACCCTCTCCTGCCTAGCTATTAGTCATTCAGCTCTTTATCAAACCAATCAGAAGGTGCCTTGGCAGGCAAGGTAAACAGTGACATGTCTTCACAGTGTACCCACAACAGGCCCGTTCCAGTGGATTTCATTAGAGTTTCCCACAGTAGCACGGATACCTCACCAGGGTCTACAACGCCAAAGGAAGTGTCTCTCTCTTTACTTTTGGATGTTTTGTTTAAAGATGGGTCTTATGGGGCTGGAGAAATGACTCAGAGGTTAAGAGTACTGACTGCTCTTCCAGAGGTCCTGAGTTCAATTCCCAGCAACCACATGGTGGCTCACAACATCTGTAATGAGATCTGGTGCCCTCTTCTGGTCATACATGCTGTATACATAATAAATAAATAAATAAATAAATAAATAAATAAATAAATAAATAAATCTTTAATTTAAAAAAAAAAGATGGGTCTTATGTTTCCCAGGCTGCCCTTGAACTTGCTGTGAAGATGAGCTCCTGATCCTCTTTGAATTCCCGACCTCTTGCCCCCACCTCTAAAGTGCTGGAATTATAGGCATTTGTGCCACCACCCCCGTCAGGGCATGGTGTTTTTGTGACCATGAGCAATAAGTCAGCACACCATACCTAATTATCTAGTTAATTCTATCCACCTGAGTTTCTGCAGAATCATCTTGTCCTTTTCTTTTGTTAGCAACTAAATAACTGCTGGCATATTCTGGAGACCAATTTATTCTAGAAATTTGTCCTATATACTCGCCAAGTCTGGTCCCTCATCCACAGTATTCTATCCCCTACCCTCAGGTTATAGCCCTACCTACCTTTTGCTTTACTGAGCACATGCCAATTTTTTTCCCCATTCCTGCCAATCTCTGTCTTGTTAGGAATATGCTATGGTTTGACTATGACTTATTTCCTCAAATTTATACAGAAGTTTGATTCCTAAAATCATGTTAATAGTATTAAGAGGAGCCAATGTCCTACCTACACCTGTCTTTACAGTACTCAGGTGGTAGAAGAAAGAGGTTCAGAAGTTCAAGGTCATCCTCATTCATCCTAATGAATTTGAGGCCAGCCTGGGTTATATGAGACCTTGTCTCAGAAAAACAAAACAAAAAATGTTTCTAAGAGTGTGGGTTACAATCTGAGTTTAGTATTTAATGTTGGGATTTTTGGACAGTAATTAGGATTAGATTAACCACTAGATCAGAGTAGAGCCTTCATGACTGGATCTTGATGGATTAATTTATTCATTTTATTTTAGGTGTTTTTGTTTGTTTGTTTGTTTGTTTTTGAGACAGAGTCTCATTATGTAGCCCTGGCTGGCTTGGAACTAACTGTGGAGGCCTAGAAGTCACTATATAGACCAGGCTGGCTTGAACTGATAGAGATCCACCTGCCTCTGCCTCCTGAGTGCTGTGATTAAAGGTGTGTGATGGAATGTGGTGATGGGAACCCAACTCAGGTCCTGATCAAGAGCAGCAAGTACTCTTAAATGCTGAGCCATCTCTCCAGACTCCAGTTTTTTGTTTTTTTTTTTTTTTTTTTTTTTTTTTTGCTTGTTTTGTTTTGTTTTTGAGACAGGATCTCACTGTAGATCTCTGGCCTAGAGTTCACTATGTAGCCCAGGCTAGCCTCAAATTTACAGTAATCCTTATTCAGCCTGCCAAGTGCTGGGATTATAAGCCTAAGACACTATGACCACCTTGATACTCTGCCAACAAGAAGGCCATTAGTAGAAAAGGACCCTTAGCCTTGAATCGCCAGTACTATGAATCAACATAAACTCTTTTTCAAAGAAGCCTGTCTGTGGTATTTTATTATAGAAATATAATACAAAGTGATTTATTCCATTCAGCTGATTTCTATTTAGTACCTTTTCTTGAAACCTTAATTACTTGACCAAGTAATTGTCCCTGCTAGATAGTCATGGCCTTCTTACATTTGCTCTTGGGATCATCTGTTGACTTTATATTTATTCAGTGTCTACCTTTGCAAGCACACTGAGAACTCTGTCCTGGCCCTTTTGAGTCCCTTTCTTCTGGTGCCATGCCAGACCTAACAAGGAGGAGCTTGTTTCACTAGGGTTCTTTGGTGATGGCAACCAAAAATAGAATATGGATAAAGAGTCTGGTAGGACTCACCCAAGGGCACTAGTTTGAGAACAGAACAGTACTGATCTCATGGTATTGTCAGTGTTCTCCAGCCAAAGAGCACTGAGAACACATCTCTAATGCTGCTGCTTGGTCCATCGAGAGAGAACAAAATCCACAGGGAACTGTGGCTCATGTTCTTAATCCCAGCCCTCGGGAGGCAGAGACGGGTGGATCTCTGTTTGAGGCCAGCCTGGTCTACACAGTGGGTTCCAGGCCAGCCAGGACTACAGTTTTTTAAAAAAAGCAATAGCATTAGAAAAGGCCTGCTATAAGATTTAGATTTAAGCTGCGTGGTGTTGGTGCACGCCTTTAATCCCAGCACTCGGGAGGCAGAGCCAGGCAGATCTCTGTGAGTTTGAGGCCAGCCTGGTCTACAGAGCGAGATCCAGGAC